GTCACTGATTCTCACAAGAACTCCAAGATACACCTCTTGAATCCAGTCACTAGTGAGTATATGTTGATTAATATTAGAAGGGGTTTTGTGGATATTCTAGTAATTTTAATGATCGAGATCATGAGCCAATTTTTTATACACACTGAAACGGCCATCCAATGCTTCCAGGTTTTCCGTAGTGGTCTAACTTCAATTGACTCATCATCTCAACTGACTAATTTACATTATATTATATTTATGTTGAAGAATAGGATATTTCTGAAACATTTCTATTGACATACTTTTGTAAGGTCAAATTAATTTTCTCCATTTTCCATAATGATGACACATTTATAATATGAGTTCAAAAGGTCATTTATGACGATTAATTGTTATGATGTTATAAGGAATAAACATCTGCCTAAACTATAACATGTATTCATGGGATACACTTGAATACAACAAAGTTAATCATACATTAAATTCTTTTTCAAATAAATAATACCGTGTCAAGTAGCCTATTGAAACAATTGACCATGAATAAAACTGATTTAAACACAATCACATTAGAATGATTAACTGTATCCCATGTATCTCTTTTATATTACTCATTGTTCTATTTGAACAAAAAAAACACAGACAATACAATTCTTATTGGGATTTGTTGAATTTTTTCAAAATATTGACAATTAGTATGGTAGAGATAAAGCACAGCTTTGTATTATGATACAGTATAACGGAGATTGTTGAAATCAAAGCTTCATTCCACAGACTAACCTTGATTAAACAGCTGGTATGACCTTCCTTGAATAACATTCGTTATGGTAGGCATCTTAAGCCCCCCCCCCGCAAGGATCGAAACCAGGACCTAGAAGTATCACGTTGATCTCTTGAGCTTCCAACTATAAAGTTGGTATTTGATGGAGTTTTGTTCTCTGAGCTGGATGGTGGAAGTTTGTGCTGATGATGTCGTTCAGAAGAACGATGAAAGCTTCACGACCAAACCACCAGTTCAGTGAACAAAACTCCATCAAAATCATCCGCCTGAGCTATAAATCTTCTCCACCATTTAATGCTTTTAAATGACGTTAGAACTATAAATGAAGCCAATCTGTGGTAAGAAGTTCTCACATTTTTAGTATTAACGAAAATAATTTATCAGTCATCACAAAACAGCTAGTCCATAGTCAATTGAATTTTTTTTATTGACTTTGGAGATTAGTATTACTGTTCAGTAGTACTTCCGCTGAAGTCAGTCTGTGAAGAAGTGGGATGATTAAACATGTAAATCCATTTATATTTACAGTTGATGTTTCTAGTGTAACTTGAATTAGAACCTGGAAACATTGCTGATGAGTCTCATACTAGGACGAATCAACCGTCCAGTGCTTCCAGGTTTTTAATGTTATTCTAATTTAGATCGATTCATGAATTCAACTATTAAAATTGCTACTATCTCCAAAGATCCTCGTTCTGATAATAAATTGAATTAGTCATAAACAAGCCCAGTAAATGGCTCAAACTTACTTGAAATATACATTCATTCAACTTTCTTTTATTGATCATTTAGAAATAACTAGCTGATAAAGTAAATTACTAATTTTTCCTCGTATGACAGTAAACCTTATACAAATGAAATGAAGTCAGAGAAGTAAGAATATAAGCTTTCAAGTGCCTAACTATCTAATAAACAAACACTTTTGAAGATAGATACTAGTCTTAGTTACTCATTTTATAATCGACCTCACTCGTCAGAGACAATGTTTTCACTTTAACACTCTATAAAGTTGATTATGATTGGATTGAATTAGAATAGATGTAACTGATGTTGTTAGAAATAATTAATCCACTATCTTTCACTTATTCATTCTGTTCATTGAGTAACTGAGAAAGATTGGTTCAGCGAAGAGTTCTCTTTTCGGGGAATTCAAGCTGCACAATCGCATATATGTTTTCAGGATGACAATAATTACAATAATACTGATAATAAACTTCTGTTAGATATGGTGACAGTGAGGTAGAATAAAAAAAGCCAATAAAATATTTTTGTTAAACAAGGAAACTAATAATCGTTTTTAATCGAAGATGGATAGTGACTAGCAGTGGAAACCAGGATGATACAAGTAGAACAACACCAAGTGAATTTAATAATAGTTTGATTGTTAGTGGCTTAAATATTCATCAAAAGATGTATAAGGGAATTATCATTGGGAAATGATGGCTCAGCATGACAAGATAAAATGTAATCAGGATTATCGTAGAAACAGAAATAAAACAGTTGGGGGTAGAAGATTTAAGAGGAAGATAAAAGGTGAAGCAGATGGCTGTAAAGGAAGAAGAGTATGAAGAAAAAAATTATAAGAGATTACGGTTATGATAGAAGAAGAGGTTGTGTAGAACTATGGTCTACTATGATATTAGTACTGCTCTAATCCTAAAATTATAGACTTGTCATGATATAACTGCCTAATCTATAAGATCTTACGTGGGAGTTACATCATCGTCTACACCAACTCATTGCATCATAACAATTACCAATACATGATGGAGAAGAAGCTTAGGCCAGAGATAGGACAATATATTTAACATGGTTAAAAGATATAAGATAACAGGGATCACGCCTGCATGGCCGAGACATGCCATTCGATCAACTCCAACTCATTCAATTCCTTGTTCGCGCCTTCCCCATCGTTAGGTATTTCTCCGTGTTAAATATTGAATATTCATTTTCCCAGCAATCTCGTATTCAGCATTGAAGATTGTGTGGTTATTGTCCGATGCCACTACAGTTGTACCAATCTCTTTTGGACACACAGTTCTGGTTTTCATAGATGCATGGATATTGCTTCGGCAATGCTAAGATGCAATCTTTGAAAGACTTCTACTTATCTTGTAGATGACTTTGAACACAGAGTTTGTCTTGATTGATTGACCTGTGTGTCACAAAACGTTCGATTATTGAACTCCTTATTGAGCTGTTTTCTCCTCTCCTTAGTCACGTTGGATGGTGTTCTTGAATTCTTTTGGATGAAGCACGCATCGAATGACATATATACCTAGCTCCACATAAGCAGGTAATTGGTAAATGCACATTGAGTTGGTCAGAGGAGATAATTTATCCTTGGGATTATTGGTGAACAATGATCATCTGGAGAATACTATTCGCAACGTTGCTGTAAAGAATCAGAAATTCTCCTCTTTAGGACGTCTATTACTCTATCACCCTTGAAATCGATGTCTATGTAAAGTGTTTTTCTTCAGCCGAGGTTATTTGTGTCTCCGGCGCTTTCGGTTTTATGTTCTTATCAATAAATATCGAAGGATACCCGTTTTTGATAAGTATTTCCTTCCAGAGGCCCAGTTCGTCATCTATAACCTCGGGACTACAAATTCTTTGTATTCGCGTAGCGAGTGATATTATTAAATTTCTCTTTCGACTGTGGAAACATGATAGTTGGTCATTCCAAACGGGTTTTCTATAGACAGATCTTCTTAATGTTCTGTCTTGGTTTCTTGTCATTTCCACATCAAGAAAGTGAATATTTTGTTTATTTTCACCTTCAAGTGTGCAATTTATTGCTGGGTGACAGTTATTAAAAATCCTTAGAAGATGACTTAAATCATGATTGTTGTCACAAATGATTAAGATATCATCTACGTACCTTTTATACAAGTGGACTTTTTCTAGTAGTCACCATGTCTGACAGAAGTTTATTATTATTTTCATTATTATTACTGTGATTATCATCCTGTGAAAATAAGTATATATATTTGCGATTGTACAGCTTTGAAAATGAATTTGCCGAAAAGAAAACTCTTCACTGAACCAATCTTTCTTACTTAATGTCTTAATCGATGTATTGCGATAACTGAATAATGATGCTATTCACCTTGTATTCATTAAATTGTACGGGGCATGGAAAGAAAAGATCCTTTCAACGTAGAAAACATCTACTTTGATTCTATTAAATAAATACTTATGTAAGATGATTTAAGACCAATATAAATTAAATTTTCAAGGCTTAATTTAAAGGACTTTATGACTTAGTATGTTATCATAATCACTACATGTAAATAAAGTTTTTATATCAGAAGGGGTTTTGTGGATATTGTAGTAATTTCAATGATTGAGATCATGAGTCAATTGAAGCTAGACCACAATGGAAAACTGGAAGCACTGGATGGCCTTGTCGTCCTATTGTAGGACTCCTCAGCAGTGTGCATCCACGATGTCGACTCAGTGGTCGAGTGGTTAAGCATTCGCACACGAGACTGATAGATCCTGGGTTCAAATCTCATGAGGCGAGATCGTACACGCACATTGCTAAAGAGTCTCAGAATAGGACAAAACCACCATCCAGTGCTTCCAGGTTTTCTACGGTGGTCTACCTTCAATTGACTCATGATCTCAATCATTGAAAGTTTTTATAGTTGAATTCATAATTCAGTTGAAGCTAGACCACCATTAGAAAAACCTGGATCATATACTGGACGGAAATTTCATCAATGATCATTACTTTTGTTACAAATGGGCAATCATAGATATGACTCCTCAATATACTTGACCTTAATCCTAATTTATTCCATTATTCTAATGAACTAACTTTTATATTTAATAAATAATAAGGTCAAATTAACTGACATTGGAAGCATCATTTTCATGTTTATTCATGATTTTTGTCTTGTTTTTCGCTGTCTCTCTCTCTCTCTCAATTTTGTTATTCTATTGGTTGTCAACTATACTGAATTATGATTGGTCAATCGAAAAAAATAAAAAAATAAAAAAAATAAACAATCGATTCTATTGACGTCATTTGTTGAAGACCAATCATTTCACAGAATACATGGATTGTATTTCATTGTATTATATTTTTCCTATTATTATTTAAATATGATTATTCGTGATCGTTATGTCTTGGATACTGAATCATTCCTCTGGTTCATGAATCTATTTATAATGGTACAAAAAAATTGAAAACGAAAAAAAGAAATATTTTTCTTCTTCTATTTCCGCCTTTTAAGGCGGGTATACAGATTCCTATGTCGAATAATATAATAATAATAACAATCAATAATTATGATTATTTGGAACTATTATGGTTCTATATTCTTCAATATCATATTGATCTTAATATTATTTATATCTAAATCAAAGCATGAAAAATGTTATTGTTATGTAAATGGAACTAATTCACACCATGATCATCATCATAATGGTAATGATCATCATCATGATGATGATGATCAGCATAATGTGAAACGATTAATTCATTGTTCTTTAACTCAATTATCATCTAATTATTCAGAAGAATTATTATGTCAACGTATAGATCAATTTATTTGTATTGGTCCATATATATCAAATGATAGTGATATTAATTTATGGATAAATCCATGGGCATTTTCTAATTTATTTAATCATAATAATAATCTAGTAAATACATTACAACTTGATTTCAATATAAAAACACAACAAATTAATGCATTAACATTAGCTGGTATGAATGATTTAAGGAATTTATTAGCTCGTACAAGTTTAACAAATTGGGATAGTTGTAGTTTTATTGGTTTAATTCATTTACATGAAATTACATTAAATTGTAAATCTATATTACCGGAATATTTAACATTTGGTTCATTTATTACTGTTATCAGATTTGTTGATTGTATAGGTGTACCATTACAATTTTATTGTATTCAATGTATACAAGATACAAATGTATATGTTATACGTATACGTCCAGGACCACCACTTAGACAATATTTAATAAAATTTACACGACTTTCATCATCATCGTCGTCATCATCATCATCAGTATCATCAGTGAATAACAAGATAAATGAAAGAAATGAGGATTTATCACTAAATCATCATTTACCACTTGATAGTTGTATTTATGGTGTATGCTCAGATGAAATGCTTTGTAGGAATAATTTACCATTGAAACAAGCACAATCTGGAATAGGTCAACCTGAAAAACCTGTTATTGAAGTTGTATCCAATAATGACTTATTGATTCCAAATACAACTACAATAGGATTATATTATTCTGTGCAATTATCTAGTATACAATCTGTATTGAAAACAACACCATCTATTATACAACCAATTAATACAACATCACATTATGATATTGTGATACTGACTAAATATGGTCATAGTAAATCTGATCATAGACAAAAGATTTGGATTGTTTCAGCAATTATCATACTTATCATTTTATTCATTATTACTTTAGGGATTTTAATAATTATTAATTATCAACGTAAATCAAAGCATAAGCTTAAATCTCGGTCAAACAAATCTGTACACAATCATAATAATGGTATTCATAATAAATCAAATGGTAGAACAGCTCAACATGATTCACTTATTATTGCAGAAGATGGGAATAGAATTGAATTGCCTGATATTGTATCATGTAAATAAATCTTAATATGTAAGTTTCGTGACTATGAAGTGATTTTCTATCCCTATTTACACATACATATACAAGAAAAAAAACCCCCAACTAAATTACCTACTATATTTCTTATATTCTTCTCATTTAACTTAGCAACTAATCATTTCTAACTTTATTTTTTAAAAAAAAAGAAAAAAGGCTTGATTCATTCTCCTATATTGTATTTGATGTCTTTCTAAGGGAATTTCTTTCATAATCACTTCATAACCTCAGAGGTGAAATGAACTATCCATCATCTATGCTTCTTAATATATATAAGGTATTCCTGAAAGAAATTCTTAATCATTATCTCATCCTCAACACATCTCACCGCAAAATATGTGATAAGCTAACTTGTAATATTAGTCATTATTATTATTATTATTATTATTATTATTATTTTATTGTAGTGGTTCGGTCTTCAAACTTTCCCACCATATAATAATATTGTCTTCCTTCTATAGTTTACATTCTACATTATTGTACATGCGAGATATTACTTTTATTTCAGACATAATGCATTTATTAAACTTTTTGTGCTTATTTTAATCAGGTACCATGGTGCCTAGTATTTCGAAATTTATTTATATTTACATATATATATATCTTTATATATTATGTATTTTTGTCCACCCCTTCCCATCCATAAAACTGGTCGATTGTAGAAAAGAAAATAATCTTGCAATATGTACATACTTACTTATCAATGGTTAACTAATATGGTCTTGGTTCATTTATACAAATTGTTTTTATTTATTTATTTATTTGCAGAAAATTCTGATGATCAGATAAGCTTAATTTTAGTAATGAGTTCATTCATAGAAAGATTGGAACATTTGGAAGATCATAAATTTCCTAAAGATAAATTATCAATTTTTTCTTTCTTTCTTTCTTTCTTTCTTTCACAATTCAATTATAAATAGAAGCAAATATGAAAAGGATTAATAACAGTTGGGAAGGATCGCCCAAGAAAGGGTTAGATGTAGAACGATGATGAGCGGCCTATGCTCCTCCACGAGGAGTAACAGGCGTAAGTAATTCATTAGAAATAAACATTGATACCATAAATAAAGTTTATCGAAGAAATGAACAAGCACAGGTTATTAGTCAAATTTAGAGTTTATAATTTGTTCATCGTATAATACATGTGCTAAATACGGTTTGTATTTCTGTACTAATGTGGTATGGCAACTCAAACTGAAGTATGTACGTACGAACTAGTTAAGACTATCGTAACCAATGGTTGGAGACTGTGGGTGACATGGCCCTGAATCGACCACAATAACGTCGGTGTATACACTATTTGTCTTGTCTTAAACTATGAGATTAAAATCACTTTATACCTTACTTTCAAATTCTTTCTTCCTGTATTATATCCTTATATACAATCTTTCTTTTATATATTACTACCATCGAAGTAAATACTTCTATAAATTTGGTGTTCATCTTGTTGTGCTAATGAGGTATGGCGAGTTGGACTGATGCACATATGTGCCTGGTCTTACGTTATTGCTGACTGACTGACTAACTAAGATTCTTTGGGTTTTAATTTAATGAAGTTTATTTAGGGTTAGCTGATATCGATTCTGGTAAGCTGTTTACTCTCTCCCTTCCTCTTTCTTCTGGTGGTCGACTGGATTATGAAGATCTCGACATCTGAAGGAAAACACGGAATACAATGGACAGCTCAGAATCAATTAGACGATTTGGACTTCGCAGATGACCTAGCCCTCCTATCACGTACACACGAACAGATGCAGATAAAGACAGCCAATGTAGTAGCAGTCTCTGCATCAGTAGGCCTCACCATACACAAGGAGAAAACCAAGGTCCTCAAATTCAAAATATAGAACAGCAATCCAATCACTATTGATGGCGAAACTCTGAAAGATGTAGAGTCCTTCACATACCTGGGAAGCATCATCGATGAACAAGGAGGCTCAGATGCAGACGTAAAGGCAAGGATTGGCAAAGCAAGTGTCGCGTTCCTACAATTGAAGAACATATGGAACTCAAAACAACGTTCAACCAATATCAAATTGAGAATCTTCAATACGAATGTCAAGACAGTTCTACTGTATGGAGCTGAAACTTGGAGAACTACAACAACCACAATCAAGAAGATACAAGTATGTATAAACAGTTGTCTACACAAGATACTCAACATCTAATGACCGGATACCATCAGCAACAGCCTTTTATGGGAGGGAACAAACCAGCTTCCAGCTGAAGAAGAAATTAGGAAAAGATGATGGAAATGGATAGGACATACATTACGCAAATCATCAAATTGCATCACGAGGTAAGCCCTAACTTGGAATCCTGAAGGGAAGCGGAAAAGAGGAAGTCCAAATAACACATTACGTCGGTTAATAGAAGCAGATATGAAAAGGATGAATAATAACTGGAAGGAGCTGGAAAGTATTGCCCAGGACAGGGTTGGATGTAGAATGCTGGTGAACGGCCTATGCTCCTTCATGAGGAGTAACAGGCGTAAGTAAGTGATATCGATTCACCATAGTTATTTAAACAGTTGTCATACTATTATCCTTTGAGATTGTTCATTTCGACTACTTAGTAATTCATATATGATTTAATAACCAGACGTCAAAAAAATCTATAATATCAACACTCATTTGTCAATTACCGTGAAATGTACAGGAGACTTTGTTATTTTCGACTGATCTCTTCATAAACGATTGTTTAGTTAAAAGTATCTTTCTGAAGAATTGAATAGTTTGAATAAATAATTGAACTTCCTAAAAACTGAATTCATCAGATTGATGAGTACACTTTTGCTTTAGTATGGAGGACTTTTGTTACTCATTAATTTTCGTGAATGTGTCTTATTATAAACATACTACTTTCTAAATGATCTCACAGTTATATCTGAAAAAAATCCGTTCACAAATCAACTGAATTCGTTTCATTCACATTGATTATCGTGTTTCTATGGATATAAATTTGACAGATGGTTTGTTAGTAAAAACCAACCGCTTTGGATTGGTAGGTTACTTTCGAACCCGCCTCAAACCATTTGAAACTGATTAACGACTTGAGTTTTATGAACTCAGATAATTTTTTTAGCACGGTTGTAGTAATTTCTAGCAATTGGATAACAAAGATAATATTAATATAGGAAGTTGATGAAAGTGATTGAATTTTGTAATTTTGTTATTAACACCATCTCTTGAGGGTTAAGCGGTCGCTTTGAGTTTGTTAGATCATGGATGTATACTACTTAGAAGATCCATGTTAGGATGAAGCGGCTATTTAGTGCTTCCAAGTTTTTAATGCTTGTCAAACTGCAGTCGAACAGTTATGTATACTATAAAATGTTGAGAGTTATCTGTTGGTAACTATAAACGATATTGATGTGTTGGTTAAACCGCTTAAGGAAATAAGTTGATGATCAACTTATAATAGGGTTTTATCGAAATTGAATTCATTTTATTGCTTATAGAATAATGAACAAAAATAATCTGTATATTTATGTATACAGTTATTGAACGAAAGATAAGGGATTAACATGCTTGCTTTTTATACATATTGGTATATGTTCGGATAACGTTACGCCGACATTTGTTCGTACAATATGATTTTATCACTAACTTTCGTACATAACGTATATCTTAGATCTGAATAGTTGCTAGACTGTGTTAAATGAAATGTGCATAGAATATTTGGAAACATCTTTGGAGAATCACAGTCAGTCAGTCAGCTACAACGTAGGACCAGGCACATATGTGCATCGGTCCAGGTTGCCATACCGCATCAGCACAACAAGATGAACACCGGATTCATAGCAGTGGTTAGGTCAAAGGTAGTAATATGTAAAAGAAAGATTGCATATAGAGATATAGTACAAGAAGAAAAAATTGGTTCGTAGAAAGAAAGATATGAAGCGATTTTAATCTCTTAGTTTAAGGGAAGACAGGGAGTGTATACACCGACGCCATTGTGATCGATTCTAAGCCATGTCACCAAGAGTCTCCCGACCGTTGTTGCTACCTTGATGTGGTGTTCGGGCTTGCCTATCGTGATGAAGCAACCGAGCTATACTGGTTGGAACAACCGTTCCTCAAGGTCCTACCATGTCAGACAGGTCGGTTGAAGAGCGGTAAGACTAAAAGCAACAAACCCAAGGTCCGAAGGCGAAGTCGTACTGCTGACTGTACAGAGGTGTGACAGCAGTAAGGTGTTTCCTTCAGACAACCAGCATGACAGCGATGCTGCCTTTTCACAAGGAGGGGTGGGGTTTGAACAGATCGACCCTAAAAATGCGCACCTCACCTTACCTCACGGATTTCCGTCTCCGGCGGTAAGGCCCTTTGAAGAACGGAGCTAACACGTCAAAAACCTCCCACGAAAAGGCCGTGCGCGACCGGCCTCAAGCAGTTGTCCCTTGGGCACTGCGGTCACGCTCTCAGGTCACTGAGACCGCCTCTAATCCAATTTCCTTTTCAGGTACCTCCAGAAGAACCCTTCCACGGTGTGGGCAACCGGGAATCGACTGATGTTTCCATAGGTATAGAGAGTTCATCATTTGCGTGTGGGCTGTGACACTGCCCGGGTGCCCAAACCGAAGCAAGTGGTTATCTTAGGGGGCCACACCCCGAGCCTTTGACCTAAAGGTCTAACCCACAAGGCAGTGGAGCATCGTAAGGAAATGCAGTCCCATGGTAGCCGGTGACCAACGATTGGTTCATACGCCATTTGTTCCCTCAGGATACTGGAGCCCATGTGCACCATTGATTTGGTTTGGGATCCAGTTAAAGCGCCGGACATTCACTTCGCTTTTCGTCCTCTCATTTTCGTAAACTACAGTAGTGCCACGAGAAGGCAATGAGTAGGACTTCCCTGACAGAGGCTATATACGCGTGGCCATGTGAGAGTATTTCGAGAGGGAGAGCGGACTCTCCCCACTCTCGACCGTACCAGGACATTCGGGGGGCCATATATTGGCGCTCTCTTGTTCCAGTATTTATGTGTTCAAATAAATAAAATAAATAAATATCGACTAGTGTTAGACCACCATTACTATATGCTCACTACTGACTAGCTTCGTGAGGAAATTCTCGAAATTCTAGTAGGAAGCCGTGACCAGTGACTCTACAACATTTGCCAATAGAAATATCAGAGTACAAAGTAACTGAAATTTTTATCAATTATCCGTTTAACTTGAAATAACAAGATGAGATATCGTTTTTATTTTATACATTTCATTGTTTTGTTTTCTTTCAATAAGCACATTTTCATTCCAACAGTAGACTTGGCATTTCTAATCACTTGAATATTATATTACTAAAACAAATTAGTCTGAATACGAGAAATGTGTACTGTTCATTAATTTTCTTTACGTCTGTCACTAATTACTCATTTGCAGTAAGTTGATTTCACACACACACACACACACGTACACACAAATTTAGGCACATAACAATTAAATAAGTATGTTTTATCTAACTTGTCAACAATAAATTGTTCACATCCTCTGTGATTTTACACTTTTTGTTTTCATATCAACGGATAGATATTAGATAAACTAAAAAGGAATACAACTAATTCCTTCCTTACTTACCTACATACTTAATTAACTTACGCCTGTAACCCCTTATGGAGAAGGATAGGCCTCCCACCAGCATTCTCCATCGAAATAATTGGTCTACATGTAATTAATTATTTGTTTAAAAAGAAAGATTTTAAATCATATGAGATTCCTCATTGATCTACAATGACAGTTTCATAAACGGATAGTTAGAAAGTGAAGAGTATTTAAAGAATTTTCTGGTTTATAATGTTTTCTCTTTTTTTTACCTAGATACTTGAGTAAAATTAATTGTTACTGTAATTCAACAAGAAAGTTCATTAATAATGATAAATTATGAAAGGTATTCCGTTCTAAATAAAGAAAACACAAGTCATTTAATAAAAACAGACTTAATAGTCAGTCATGGTGAATTTCTATTTCCTTATCTTATGGATCAAATTTAGAAAAGTCAACATTGTTTAAATAAACGAAACTATTCAATCTTTTCTTTTACTAAAGATTAGAACTCATAATTTTGAAGAACCATTATCCTCATCATCATCCTCCTCCATTGATTAAACAATGTATTTCCATTTCTGATTGAGATCATGGGTGCGCATCCACGATCCCGACCGCTGGATTCGGACCCAGGGCCTTCGGTCCCGCGCGCCGCCTGTAGCTCTTCTAGAGTTACTGCCGGTCCCAAGCCCGGGTAAAGG